ATACAATAAATATTTTTTGTTTGTTTTACATGGTGAATAATATCTTTTACCATAGAGAGAACAAGGCCACAGACATTTACTTACATTTTCAATGGGAATCACCATAAAAAAAGCAACAGGCCTGCTGCCATGCATGAAAAACACTTCTGCCACAAAGGGACCACAGCAAGACTTTTAAAAACCAGAAAACGAAAACAGAAACAAACAGCAACAGTGGGAAATTTCAACAAAATAAATCTTAGATCAACATAAATCACCAAGCATGTGACTGTGATGTATTTTATTGGGTAAGAGAGCGCCACTGAGCACAGACTTGCTGAATGTCTCCTATCTAACCACTAAACAGATCTGGCCCTTGCAACACTTTGAGACACTGATGACGACTCTGTGTGTGAGAGACTGTACCCTTCAAAAAGAAACTACAAAAATGCATACAACAGATATTCCAAGCATTCATTACATGTTAATAATTACAAAGATAACATTTTCAAACGGCACAAAACAAACCTGTATTATGTAGGATTGAAGAACATTTGATTCCTTCTCTAAATGACAGGTACACAGATGGTACCGTAAACGTAGCTAGTTCTAAATGAAAGACTGAACAAACAGAAATGACTTGCTGATGGTAGCTTCATTCTCTGGTTAAGGTGGTCATCCTTTTTTGCCTATCTCCCACCCTGCTAAGATGCAGCAATTAGTTTAGGACCTTCTTCTTCAACTCTTCTACTCTGACCAAGTCTGAGCACTCTCATTTTCACATCTGGACAACGGTGAACAGGCTTAGCACTCATTCTCATGGAGGTCTATTTTTCACAGAACCACGGAGACCCCCTCCCAGAGTCCTGACTTGACCTCTTCTGGGCCAAAATGACAGAGATGGGGCAGAGACCTCCCCCATGAAGAGAGGATGGAGAGGAGGCTGCTGTGGACTTCTCTGGGAATAAAAATTTGGTGTCACGTCAGCCCTATCATCTTCAAACTTTGGTGTTCTGCACATCCAGACACCTTCCTGGTGTAGTTCTGGATACATTTTTCTTTTCTATTGGTGGTAGTTTTTGTCATTTAGGTCAGAATTTTGGGGCCTTTCCCTACCCCCTTGCCAAAAATTCTGAAAAAAGATAAAACCCTGATTTCCTCAAGTCAAATTTCACAAGCAATAAGTGTTCGTGTAGCAAAGACACATCTCATTGCATCAATCTGATCATAATTCCACATTTGGCTCCTAACCAGCTTTAGGCAAATCTAGCTTTATCCAAAATGAACAGATTACTGGGGCGGGGCGGGGGGTGGGGTGGGTAAGTCTGCTTTAGCAGGGTCCTCCTTGGAGAACTTCTTGAGCAGTTAGATAATGTAGGCACTTAAAGCATGAGGTCCAAGCAGCTTGACACACAGATCATTCCAGAGTCACCTTTGAGAGTCCTTCAGAGGCCTCCCCTTTGGAATGTCTCAAGTACTATTCCCTACCCTGGCCTTAGACCTCAGGATGGCCACTCAGAGATTCCCCCTGGAAATGGTATGTCAGCTCCACACAGCCTCCGTATTAACTGATCTGAGTCATTTCATTGGCAATGTGGATTCCTACTCTGCTCTCAGTATTTTTGGGTCCATATAGAACACCACTTTTTTGCTTAACAAGACACTTTATGTCCATGATTTTGTCCAAGCTTTATCATGATTAACCCAAATGTTTATTTCCTTTTTTTTTTTTTTAATCTTTCCTTTGGGTTGTTTTTCTTTTCCCCCTCTAATAAAAAATAATTTAAAAAAAAAACAAACCCAGAAAACAAGAGGCAATCACTGTTCTCCATGCTTATACGAACATCACAATATGACAATTTTTTTTCAGTTGTTCAAAGCAGTGGTAAATAAAGTATTTCAAAGAAGGCAACTGATAGTTGTCCACAGGAAAAAAAAAGGAAAAATAGGGAGGGGGGGCTATAGGGAAGAGAGGGAAAGAATGTGCTCTATGCAAATACAAGGTTTTTTTCAACAAAAGCAGCTTCCCCTGACAAAAATGCCCAAAAAGAGTGAGCGGAGCCTGAGAGGTGCATCATGGGAAGTGGAGTGCAAGCATTTCATTTAGTTGCCTTATTTTTTTTTATTCACTTCTCAGTCATCTGATTGATACTGCCAACATCTTTACAATATACAAGTGAATCTTTTATCAACTAGAACATATATTGGAGGAATTCTTTCCCCATCCCTACTCCCTATGGAAACTTAAAAAAAACAAAACAAAACAAAACAAACACAAAACAAACAAAAATAACCCCCTCCCATCCCCATCCCCTAATCCAGTAAAGCGATGACAACAGCACCTTGACATTGTTTTAATTCCAACGCGATCAGAAGTTCAAAGCAGTAAAACAGAGAGAGTACTAACAAGAACGAAGATACTTACTGTCTAAAATGTAAACGGAATGTTTTGGTTCAAATTTTTGTTGTGTGTGTGTGTCTGTTTTTTTTTTGTTGGTTTTTGTCTGTTTTTTTAAAGAGGACAGTTTATTATCAATTCACAATTAAAGTAGCATGCAATTTATTTTTTTTTTTTAAACTTTTTTACGTTTTCAATTCTTGGCAACGGCAACAAACCACAACATTATCGAGGAATGTAATGCAGACTTGGAAAGTTGTGCGCAAATGACTGTTTCCCTTCTGGTCATGGATATGTCCAATAAATAGATTGTAGAACCACTGTACTGTATAAACTTCATTTATACATGCAGTTCATAAAATTATTTTTTTCTTAACTGAATAATTTACCCTGTTATGTATATATACAAATAGATAATTTTTGTCTCAATATAATCTATACAACATAAATCCACTATCTTCCCCTTTTAATGGTCAATGTACATACACAGGAAGTGTCTATCCTTATGAATCGCCAGCCAATTCTCTTTTTGCTATCCATGGTAAGGGCCCGCACGTACGACTGGGTAGTTCGGCACTGGGAGTTCCAATGCCTTTTGTCTATTCCCCTGCAGCCCTCTTTCGTGTAACCCATGGGATTGCACTTGGTCTCGTAGAAGTATTGCTTCAGTTGGCCTTTCGATACAGGGACTTTTTCAAGGACTGTGACGGTCCCGCCCGACATGTCCACTGCAGTCTTTTTATCTGCCGCTGTCACCCACTCGCTAATACTGTCACACACACTCAGCTCCCCACGGCGGGCAGGGTCTGAGTGGCGCCGGACCCTCATAGACATGTTTGCAGCATCCAGGTAATTTTTGTATTCCTCAAGCAGAAAGAGAAGAGGAGGCTCCAAAGGCACTTGACTACTGAGCATCACCCGGGAAGTGTACAAGTCCGCGTCCTTATTGTTTTCTTCATTGGGTCGAACTTTCTGGTCCTCATCCAGCAGCTCTTCGATCACATGTTCAAAAGTGTCAGCCAACGACGTCAGGCCTCTGGAACCTGCCTTGGGCCCATTCATGCTCTCCAGAGTCCCATGGGTCCGCACACCTGGGTAAGCCAAGCTGCCTTGTCCTCGGATGTTTGCGTCTTTCATGGGGGCAGCCTTCATGCAACCGAAGTATGAAATAACCATAGTAAGGAAAAGGATGGTCATCACTCTTCTCACCTGGTGGAACTGTGAGGAGAAAGCAGAGAGAGGACACGAAAGTGGTTAGAGCTTTCCTTCACAGGGCTGCAACGGGGCCCAGCTGACCAGAATTCCAGGCCAGCCTGTGGGGGTCAAGGTTTCTTACGGATTGATGATAAACTCCAGCTGCACTACACACAACTTAATGTCAGTGGTGCATTAAATGTGGTTTAATATAAACCAGAGACGTGCAATGTTTTCCGTAAGATTTAGCATATATACTAAAGCAAGATTAGCTGGCTGATGAACAAGTGGGGGAAAAAAATATTATAGCTTCAAGTTCTCCTCTTTCCTCCCACTTTAGCAGCTTTGTAAATTTAATTTTTAATGATCTCTGCTCATGCTGTCACTGGAAACACAAAATCAGAAATGTTACTAAGCAACAACAGCCAGTGTAATAGTAATTCTTCCCTTCCTTCAAGTTAGCACCATGGCCCTTCTGCAGAATGTGACAGGAACAGCAGTGGCCTGAGGGTCTGAGTGGGTCCTTCCAGCTATGAGATGTCTAGGCATGAACAGCACAATGAAACAGACATCAGGGAGCTTTCACATAAAGGGCCTTTACATTGGTGGGATGGGTGTTTGGGGTTTTCCCCCCACCCTCATACAGCAAAGAAGACTGATTATTTCCTTAAGCCATTCTGTTTTACAGATAACGAAACAAAAGGCTATGAACGACTTGCCTTCTGACATAAAGAAAAGTTTATACTGGAACTAAGGTCTCCCTGCTCTGGGTCCAATGTTCTTTCTACTACACCTGGGTGGTCATAACTGAAAATGTTTTGCTTATTTCCAAACACAAATCATTTTCTACACATTGATTTTAATGATGTGTCTATGCCTGGGGCTGATACCATGAAAACAATGTGTCCGCTTAAAAACTAGAAAAGTCAGAATTAAAAAGATGAAGTAAATTTCAAATGCCTCCCATATGCAAACTCCATGCTTATCTCCACCAACTTTCTGAGGCCCCTTAACCCATGGTTTTTCTGGCTAATACACAGATCCATCTAATGAAGCTCAATGCCTTTCTTTACTGGAGGTGGGTCCAGTATGAGAGTGTGTGTCCACATGTATACATGTCTCTGTGTGTGAGAGAACTCTGAGTTCATCATTAAGAGCTCAGTGATATTTTGAACATTTTAGAATTAGCAGCTAGTGCTTCTTTCTGTGCTTTTGAAGTTTCCTGGGAAGTCCCTTAACAGCATACCACAAAATTAATCTTTCCTGTTTGCCAGAGGGTTACTCTACTCTATATTTGTCTCTAAATCTACAAGCATGCTCTAGGAAGCCAATTAGAATAGATGAACAAGCAGAATAAAAACATACCTACAGACCAACTCAAGGATATCGTCAGATGGTGAAGGACTTTGTAATCACTTACCTGAAGCGTCGAGCCCCTTAGTTGTAAAAAGAAGTGTTTCCCAGCCCTGACCCTCTAACTTTGTTTCTACATCTCAGTTGCAGAGCAAAGACTTATGAAAAGACACACATATGCCCTGGTTGTTTTGTCCTGCATACTGATAGGAGACCAGCCCAAGATTCCATTGGTAACTGAGAAGGCAACCTACCTCCAATCAACAGGTCATGCTGCAGAAATGGGTAAAAACTCTGCTACTGGGAAGGGAATGCTTTATATTCTTCACTTCTGTAAAGGATCATATATTCTGCTACAAAGACATCATTACCAACACCAAACACAAAAGCAAAGTTCCTTGTAGATTGATTCTCACTTTGCAAAAATAGCAAACATGCTCCACTTGGATTGCACAAGGTCTGAGTTAAGGGAGGGTACACTACTTTGTATAAAACCCAAACATCCATTCTGCTAGAATTCTCTGGTTTCTGAGGCATCAATGAAATGGACCCTATATAGATGCTTCTGTTGCTGGCAGGCTGCAATTATACTCTTTCTCCTAATGATCCCATTCCAAATGAAAATGACCCAAGAGTCACTTGAATTTAGGTGAAGTTTAAATGAAAGAAACAACTACAGAAAATATTACCCTTCTTCTAAAATTACACATTGCATCTCATTTAGTACTTCAGTTCACAGTCACTTACTGATTTGTTAATTATGTTCCATTTTCATTGGTAAGCTTTCTGAAGAAATGGATCCTGTCTAATCTCACATAATAGTTAAGAGAATAATATAATAGCATCTGCTGCCAAATTATTAAGGAGCAATGGCGTCAGTTTGAAGACTAAGATGCACCTGATTCAGTCCATAGTCTTTCAGTCACTTGCTATGCATCTGAGAGCTGACAAGTGATAAGAATGACAGATGAATTGATGCCTTTGAATTGTGGTGTTGGACAAGAGTGCTGAATATCCCATGTACTGCCAAAAGAACAAGCAGATAGATATGTTTTGGAGAAAGTGCAGCCAAAGTTCGCCTTGGAGGCAAAGATGATGAAGCTTCATCTTACATACTTTGGGCATGTTGCCTGGGAAAGCGTCATCATGCTTGGAAAGGTGGAGGGATAGTGATCTATAGGAAGACCCTCAACCAGGTGGATTGACACAGTGATTGTAGCAATGGGCGTGAGTGTGTCAGAGGCTGAGGATGACAGAGGATAGGCTAGGGCTCAGACCTGTTGTTTACAGGGTTACTACGAGTCATACTCAACTTGATAGCACTTAAGAGCAACAACTACCACCCACTGCCATCAAGTCAAATCTGACTCACATAACCCTGAAATAGTGTCCAAAACCAAAACTACTGCCATAGTCAGTTATTACCCATAATGACTTCTCCACTGAGTTTCTGAGACTGTAAATCTTTATGGGAACAGACTGGCCATCATTCTCCCATGGAGCAATAAGTGGATTTGAAAGGCCGGCCTTTGGGTTAGAGTCTAATAGATTATGCACCATCAGGCCTCCTTATAAAGTAATAGTAGTAAAAGCTTATTGATGATTTTATTAAACTAAGGGAAGATAGTTCTACAATCATTTTGATGGGAAGTCTTTTAATGTGGAAAGTACCAGTCAACTCAGGTGAAGTGCAGACTGATTAACCCCAAATGATGTATTTTAAGGAATGTGATAGATGGTAATTATCAGAGACCATCAATCTCTTGAGTTCTTCTAATAGAGCTTCACAGATGAATAATTAAAAAGGAACTAAGACTATAACATACTAACTGCCCCGATTTCCTGTGTGGTTTAGACCAACAGGAGACTCAGAATTGTCAGTAATAAAACTAAGGGTAAATTTTGAAGTTTTCAGTCTTTCAACTTTCTACTCCTTTTTCAAGGAGTCCAGGGTGCAGTAGCTAAACACAGGGTTGGTGACCTCTAAAGTGAGCTGTTTGAACTAAAAAAGGTTCCATAAATCTACTTCCATAAAGATTATAGCTTTTGAAACAATAATGCAAGTTCTATCCCTCCTACAGGTTATTCTATAGGTTAGGATAAATCGGTTTTCCTTTTTCCTCACTAATTTCTTCATAAACCATTTTAGATATTCTATTAGGAAAATCAAGAGAGAGAAATTCATTAATTACAATTATACTTTTTATAATATATTAATAATTACTATAATCACTTTTACAGGCTGCTTTAGTAGTCTAGTGGTAACAAGCTGTGCTGCAATGCTGAAGACACATGGTTCAAATCCACCAGAAGCTTTGTGGGAGAAAGATGGCCAATCTCCTCCCGTGAAATTAACTGCCTCTGAAAACCCCATGGAGGGTCAGCTATAGGTTGGTTCCAACTCCATGGTACACAACAACAATCACTTTTACACCAAAGATAAAATGACTGTGTAATATTGTGAAACAGATCATTAGCCTAGGTATCTTTATGTAAGCAATAAATTTACTCGTTTTCTTTAGTTCTGCAAAGCTTACAACAAGTAATGCTTCCATACCTATATAATGCTAGATTTTCTTAGCCCTCATTCTTGGAAAATGCAATCTGGAACAGGTTTCATTTAAACATGACATATCTATAAACTTCCCATGAGTCGTAAACATTTAACGAGCTGACGAGCCAAGACAGCATGTTCTATGGCTGTAATAATAACTGGAGTTTGTCTAAAAGACTGTGGAATAGTCACATGTATTATTGCATTTGACTTTCACAAAGACACAGGATAGATACTATTATCTAACATAAAGTTATGATGGCTCACACAGGTTATGTAGCCTGTCCAGGGTCACTAAGCTAGTTTGCTTGCCTATTCTTTTACTATCAGTACACGCTTCTGGAACTAGAAAGGCGGCGCCATGGGGTCAAGGAAAAGACTTACAAGGTGTGAACACAATTTCCTGCAGTTATGTGCTTTCTGAAGTCTAACTTTCTAAAGTCAACATCATTAAGGAACACTCACTTGGTTACTTCAGTGAATAAAATTTCAGATAACAGTGGTAAAGGGCTGTGCTGCATATACAAAGGCACACAGTTCAAATCTACCAGCTGCTCTGCAGTAGAAGGAGAACAACATCCTCCAGTGTGGTTTAATGCTTCTGAAAACCTGCCGGAGGGTCAGCTAAGGAGTCGGTTTCAACACAACAAACTAATAAAAAAAAAAAAAAAATCAGAGATGCAGAAACCAAGTTTCCACAGTCAAAGCTAAGAAGACCCAAACAGTAGTACAGACATCACAATCATTTACTCATTGCTGTCAAGTAGGAACCAACTCATAGCTGACCTTCCAGGGAGTTTCTGAAGACTGTAAATTGCACAAGAGGAGACTGCTCAACTTTCTGCTGGTGGATTCCAATCTCCTCCAAAACATTGCCGTTGGGTCTGTAGTACAAGTCCCTATGGACTACAGTACAAGGGTTCTCAAGGGAGGGGGAATAAACAGTGCACAGCTTGTTGGCTACCAGTCCATTTGGGTCATAAGCAACAAGGAGAATGGTAATGACGGAGAAATTAGCGGTTAATATTTAATCCCCTATATATCATGCAAACCTATTAAGAGATTATACATGAAACCAGTTAAAAATCAATATAAAAAATTTTTAGTTTGCATCCTT